TTGACACAACAACCGTTTGAGCTACAGACTGGGGTGAGATTTAATAGCAACAATTAATTTTATTTAATTTCTTCCTACTTAGGGCACCAGTTAAAACCTCATGTTAGTTCACGTTCTACATCTTTTTTTATTTGTTTCCAAGTTTTAACTTCTAGGTACAACTAAGCCATGTTTTATCCTAATTACCAAGGTATCGGCCAGATATCTACACCAGAACTCACGTGCCATTAGAGCATTTTAAGCTGAGATGTTCCAAAGTCTTTTCTATCTTCCGGACCACAGTTGCTGAAGGAAGCTGACGTACCAATTGCGAGGCCTGATGAGAGACACGTAACAACGAGCCTTGGGAGTGCTAACAGCAATTCTGCTACTGCTAGAAATGATGCAACAGGCCAAATACATCAACTAAGGAAAGAGGGCAGTGCTGCTATTCAAAAGACAATCACTCTTCACTACAAAATTGAATCCTGAAGTTAAACTACAATCCTAAACAGGATTAAAGAAAAAAAAAAACCCTAAAACTAACACTGAAAGAAGAGGAGGGTTGCTCTTCAGTGATTAAAGAGAGGTCAAGTGAGCTTTTAAATCCAGGCAGAAAAAGCAATAAAGGCAATGCAGGGCACTGTGTAGATGCACGTGGCCCTCTGAAGCACAAAGACTGGACTGAATCTACCGATTTCACACTCTGCTTTATTCTATAAGAGATCAGCTCAGTAGGAGAGAACAAATACAACTTTGCAAATGCTACACGAACGCTAAAAACATCCTGGGAAAGAAAGGATGCCCGTACCTATATTCTGCATGAAGCTCCTCGTGTCTCACAGCACAGCTATTTAAATATCTGTCAGAAATGCTGACTGCAACCTTTATCTGAAGTGACAAAAGAGAGCTGATGCAATAGCAAGTGCTGTTTCCTGAAAATTGTTTCCATTTCCACTATTCACCTTTTAATAACGTGAATTTCCAGGAATTTACTTTCAACAACTGCTTGAAAACAAACAAAAAGCCAGTCTGAATGACAATTTCTTCTCCAGTTTTTCTAAATCTGACACTCCAAGTCTAAGTTACATTTTTTTTCCATTTGTCCAAGTTCTCTGAGTAAACTGAAAATTTAATCCTCTGTGTTGCAGCAGCCTCCCTCACACAAAGCCGATACATATACGATCATTTCATCTAACGCAAAAGCAAAAGCAAGTACAGAATAACAAAGATAAAAGCGAGAATACTTCAAAAAGTCAAGCCACTTACAGGTGAGCTGTTTTCAGAAAAAAAAAAAGTGTCCCATTTGCAAAGCATCATTAGTGAGGCAAGAAGCACCTCGTAACGCAGCTCAGCATCAGACCAACAAAACATTTTTTTCTTTTTTAATAATTTGAGCTTGACAAACTAATGTAGCTCTCTGCTTTACAAAAGATCTGGAATACAGCTGTACTAGACCAGTCTATGGTGAGATGCTTGCATCAGGAAAAGATCACTAGAATTCACTGTTGGTGAGGATGTGTCAGATTGTTAGAGCTGTCCAAAAAAATCTAGGGTCTAACGTTTTCTTCCCTTTTAGAGACAATTGCTAATTTCTTCCTTAACACTAACTCACTCTTCCAGGCCTTTTGGACTGAAGAGTCCAAAACTCTGGACTGAAGAGTGCTATAGAGCTACAATTTCAATAATCAATAAAAATAATTCCACTGAAATTTCAATAAAAGCTGTTACCACAAGCATTCTCTCTTTACGCTGAACATCAGAGACTTTTCCAGTAACTTACAACCCTAAGATTTAAAGAGCTTCTATTAATGGGGCAAAGCAACATCTCCTTCCCAAAAGTAGAATTTAAGCTCAACTATCACTCAACATTGATTTTAACTAGTAGCACTTCAGACCGTTATAAAACGAAATGCAGATACACGTTTTCCCCTCTTCACTCTCTAAAGCTGGCACTCATGCAGAAGACTTTCAAAATTAAAGAAACAGGATTATAAAACCACACAATTGACACAGGGCCATTGGGCATACAAGGTACTTACAGTTATAATTAATTTTTAGTGTGACTAGATTTCAAAACTGGCTGTGGAATTCTGGGAGCTGTTTATAACTTCCCTCCTCTACTCCAAGATAGCAATTTAGTCACAAATCAACAAAGACTTAGCATTCAAAGATGAAAATTACTTTGACGTGTCTTAAAATAGGAATTGCTGCAAGAGGCAGGCTCGAGTTGAGCAGGGCCGGCCACGGCACTGAGGCGAGCGGGTCGGTACCGGCTGCTCCGCATAACCGGGGCTACTGCCGGCGCTCCCGCTTTCCCGCCTTCCCCGCGGCTGCCTGCCCAGCTCTCCCAAGTGCTCCCGTGAATGGAACCCACTGCACAGCGTCACGCTGATGTCTTGTGATTCGCAGCGGTTTGCAGAGAAGCAGGTTCTGCTCAGCAGCAGCAAGGAAGGCTCTTCCTCCCACACAAGTCAACTCCCAAGGTGCCTCAGTATTCTCCTTAGTTACCTGAAGGCAGCTTCCATTTCAAAATCAGCACTACCATAAAACACAAAATGTTGGGCAAGGAAATACACCTACTAAAATGTGATGTATGACTAACATTACAGGATTTTAAACATACACTGTTGGAGTTGGTTAATCTTATCAAATGGAATTTTATACGAGAAACCTCTCCAAAGGCTCGAATGCTTTCCACAAACATACAAGAACACATGTACCTGCTCTCAAGAGCATACAAGCAAATCTGAAATCACATTAGTCAAAACAGTTGCCATGTATTCACTGTAAAGCAACAGCGAAACACGAGAACACTATGCCAAAATGAAAAAGAAAACAAAAAAAAAAGTTAAAATAAATTGAGGCTGGAATTCTGAGCAATAAGGTAAATTAATCCTATGCATGGGAACTGCAAAGGACATTAAGATGCTGCAGGGTAGATTTGATGCTGGTACTAGTAATGGTACAGATCATTAGTTACAAGCATTTCATACCAAGTGCTACAGAAGATAAAGTGGTAATGACAGAAGCGCCTTCTATTTCCTCCCCTAGAAATATTTCTTCTTTCCATTACAAGGGTTAATACTTTCAAGAGTGACCTCTTAGACACCTTATGTAATATGCAACAGTTTAAGCAACCAAACTTTACTTACAAAAGCTTTTTTTAGTTAAAACTGTAGAATTTTGATATATATTTTATAGCATCTTAAAACAGCAACTACACACAAAGCTGTAAGCAAATTAATTTTTTAAATTCCTAATGAATTTTAATAGAGTTCTTTTAAAATTTATTATTTTCACTAGCTAAAAACAATTTTTTTCCATTTTATGCTATAATTAAAAAGTCTTTAAACTATTAATGTCTCTAGCATTTTACAGCTTTATTTTCTTAAAATACATGAGTCACTCCTGACCCAAATTAAAAAAATGTCCAAAGTCACCCAACAAACTATAGCTGGATGGGCATGGTAAATATCATGCATCCCTTCTGTGAATCCATATTTTAAGTTAAATAAACACATACATCTGTATAAGACTGTTAACAAATGGTTCCTACAATTGATCCAAAGACACAGCTGGGAAAGGAATGTCAAGAGGCACTCTATGGAAAATAAAACCAGCACTAAAAGGTGACTAAATTATCAATCCAGTGTTCAAAATGTAAAACAACAACAAAAAGTTTATGTGGGCATTGCTGCCACCACATGGGCAAAAGGCTGAATTGTTCCTCCCCTGCATCTTTCAGATACTGCCTTTCTCAGCATGTTCTCTCTTTTACGGGGCCTCTCCTTAAAGCCCCTCTACCTGAACTACCACAAAGCCTCAGCTCTCCCTCAACTACTTGCATCTGCACAAAGAACGAGGAGCAATTCGAGGTATCACTGAGGTGCCAGTGACAGTCTCTGTAGTTGCTGTCCTATACTCAGGATACAAACACTGGAGAATTACACGGTATTGTCAGAGTATCACTGAGAGGTAACAAGCACCAAGCCAGTTCACTACTAATATCTAAGAAAAGTCTTACAAATATCCCAATATCCACTGGAATAGATGTGTCAAACAAGACTGCACCAGTTTTGCTGAAGCACTCTCTCTACAACACCTTCCCAGAAGGATTGCTTTTGGAAAGATGGACTGAACAGACTCCCCTGTCACCTGCAGAAGGTCAGCAGCCTGAGCGTATTCTTCACACCAAGGGGTCAGCAAGTCCAAGCGTTGAGCATTTAAGTTAAGGAGTTAAATGATCACAGAAAGAGAGCTCCATACACACACACACACACACACACACACACACACACACAGAGATAACATTCACTTACTGTTAGTGCTTACGAACAGTGTCTTGCTCCATATTTGAGTCTTAAAACATCTGTTAATGCCTACTACAAACTCAGTTCTGCTCACCTGAGGGATACACCCACACAAGTGCCAAAGGGACCGAGAATTCCCAGCACACATGCACACACACACAGCATCCCAGGGCTGTGCTTTATCCCAGCCCCTCTCTGATAAGGTCTCACAAACATGAATGACACGGCAGCAATTTGGAAGAATTTGGACACAAGTTCCATATAATTGAGTGTCATATTTTAATGAATCCAAAGAAAAAAAGTAGTCTTTGAATAAAAACCGCTTGCAGTATTTTCATCCTTTCTTTAGGGCACTGAAATGAAGCTACGTATTCTGCAGTTTATGAACCTACATGCTTGCACATCTGTCACTTTTCATTTATACATGCCTTTTATCTGTATCCTGCCAACTAACTGTGGGAGGGGAACACAAAATTGCTTGATGTATGATGATATATATTGTTTTGGCAGAGCAAAAAAAGAAGTCAAAAAGCCCCAAGGCTTCCTGGAAAAAGTTTAGCTAAAGAAATCAATCATTCAAGAGTCGCTGTCTCTGAAGGAGTCCAAGAGAACAGAATCATCACAACTCAACTATCATGCAAGGCCACCAAACAGGCCTCACTTTCCCCTGCATCTTACAGCCTAGGGAGCCACAGGGACTGCACTTACCTTTTTTGCTCTTTGTGCTATATTAGGCGTTCTAGTGAGAAGCTTTTCAATCAGGTATTCTCTATTCTGCAAAATCAACATTTGACAAGTTAAAATCAACACAAGGAAAGAAAATTCATGTAGATTTTAAGGCAGAGCAAAATTTACTTGTAGGGTTAAACGTTTTACCTTGGCTTTCTGGAAAAATTTGCATTTTAAAAGTTCTGCTGCTGTGGGCCTGAAAGATCAATAATAAATTAGAACAGAAAACAAAGACCCCTCTCAGTGAATACAGCACAGGACGTTAGTTACATGGTACGCCTCTAATACTTCTGAATTAGTACTGTATGAAGGGGAAAGGAAGGGCAATAGCTACAGAATTAATTCTTGCGTACTCACCACACATCAAAAAAAATTAAGTTCCCCTATGGCAAAAATACTGAAAAAAAAAGTGCCTAAAATTGCCAGTTTTCCCCCTTTTTATCCCTCAACACAGATGCATTTTATCCTTACAATACACCAAAAAAAAAAAAAAAAAAAAAAAAAAAATCAGGTAACGTGTGCTTCCCTAAATGACTCCATCGGTGCAACTGAACATCACAGCAACTGAACGTCACAGCAACTGCTCTCCAGAGATATAAAAGGGTAATTATATTTTCGAAACAGTAGTATCAATATCTGCATTTACTTCGGTGACATGAGCAGCTATGCACATGGGATTACACTGACACCATTAAGACAATACATAAACAAATGAACAAAAAGCCCTCGAATTGTTATCAGCCGTGTCTTCCAGTAGACAAGTAAAATACAAATGAACAGCTGTCAGGTCAAAAACTTAGACATTGCACATTTGCTTAGAGTCTTCTTCTGCTCTCTTTATTTTCACCATCCTCAATCTTTGAAGTTTTCCACATCTCCTGAAACGATTCCAACGACAATACGCATCTCTGCTAACTTTAGGGATCTAAAATGTTACCTACCTAACTCATGCCACCCTCAGACTCAGCTAGAATCCTCCAAGGTTTGTATTTTTTTTCCACTAGGAGCCCAGACCACTACCCAACACTAGTTTCAAGATGGCTAAACTTAAGACAGGATGAAATCTCCAAGACTCTCCATTTCTAAATAAATAAAAGCAAGAGAGCATGGATTAATGCATGGATAGTTTGGATTAGGTCAGACAGAGGGAAGCTTCCATATGGAAAAAGTCTGAACAAAAATCAAAATTTGAACTCATTTGTCACTGTGCCTATTTCAACAAGTGAAGAAAGCAGTATGTGTATATATGTGTATATATAAATTTCTTTCCCAATACAAACAACATAACTCCTGGCATTAACAAAAAAACAACTAGTTTAGACACAGTAACTGCAGATAGTGTTTGTTCTCCCAAAGCAAGAGATTTGAAGGGTTCTTAGGGGAGACTACCAGATGAAACAGTAATTCGCCCGTAAACCCCAGACAGGCACAGTGGAAGGGGAAATTTTAAGAGAAATAAGATCTTGTGACATGCTTTAAAATTTAAACTAAATTCAAATTTTAAGACAAGCTTTAATGATTCATAACCATCACACCTTGTAACAGGGATAGAAACAGTTAAATGCTAGATTTTTGGTCAAGTTTTATCCCAACTCATATTCTCCATTGCTCCACTATGGTTTATATTAGATAACTCGTCTGGTCTGGAAGGAGTTTCTGGCCCCATTTCTGGGCCCACACAGGCCACGGCTGCGAGTTAGAGTGGAGGACTGTAATACACATACAGTGACCTGAGAAGAGCACCTCATCTCCCCAGCCCTAAGGAAAACATTGTGCTGGGAGAGGCAGCAGTGCAGCACCAATCCTGCATTTCTCATGAAGAGCAGGTGTTTCTCCCAGACTTGTCACAGTGACTCTGAAGCATCTCTGAGCAGAATTAACTACCCCTTGAGGAGAAACATTAGCATTTGGTCAACAGCACTGACCAAACAGCCTAAGGACACTGGCTCCCAGCCTGGGACCTCATCACCTGTCTGCAGGGCTAGGTTGGCTCAAGTCCCTCACGAGCATGAAGATACTCATCTGCTACTACACTAACGTTTCAACACTGACATCTTAGCCACAGATCAGGTAACTTTTGGCATTAGGCATTCAAGGAGGGAAAGAAAACCATTTTAATTATTTACTACTTATGTTTTCATACCAATGTAATCCTGCCCTGAAAATTTCTGGCTACCAGAAATTGAAAAGCAGCTTGATTATCCAGACGCATTTCCTTCTTATCATAAGCAGTCAGTGAACTGTAAGCTTAAAGCATCAGAATTTGCTACTAATAAGCCCAACTGTACAAGGCCTAGGAATCTGAAAATAGTACACAAATGATCTGCCAATCTAAAATATGAATTTGAGGATTTCAAGAAGTTAACGATGTTGCCATGTAATTTATATTCTTTTCTCCTAACTACATTTGCAGTCACCTTTTCAACCTGACTCACTAAAACAGCATTCGGACTCACACTAGTGAAATCAAGTTACACATCATTAGAGAGAACACAGTACTGAGTCAGGATGGCTCTGTCAGAGGAATCTCTTTTCCTGTAATAGCATTTCTAAAACTTTTCAAAGAAAGAGGTGATATATCAAATAACATCAGGAAGCAATATTAACTACAGAAAGTGCTTCTTGCACTTCCCTCTTCAAAAAAAAATCTATAAAAATTGGATTGCACAAAAATAAAGGAATAACTCTGAAATCTTGAAATCTGAATATTAGTTTTGGATGAGACAGCTTAACATTTCATTATCTTAGAAATCCAAATCTCTAAAAACACATTAAGATAGATCAAAAAGATGTTACCCCAACATGACTCTGCAGTCACAGGAGGAAAATTCTAAACAAACTTGCAATCTTCTGCTTTACATTACAAAAATAAGTAATTTTCTCTGGAATTCTAAAGTATTAAAATCATTTCACAAAATGGAACAAAAAATCAACAAATATATATGTAATATAAAGGTCAAATGGTCAATCTGTTTGGCTATGCACCATTTTTTTTGATCAAAGAAAACACTCTTGCTAGATCTATGCGTAGTATCAAGATTGGTATTTTACCTACCTCGGACAAGAATACAAGATACAGAGGAAGGGCTTTTGCTTGATTAGCACTGAGTTTAACAGCAAATTTAAATATGAGTAAATAAGGATAATAATCCAGAAGAAAACCTAAACAACAGTTAGAGGCAATTGCTTCTCCTTAGATGAAGATGGCTAAAGGCTGATTTTCAGAAATTTTAATCAGAAGCTTAAAGTTATGTAAAAGCACTGAGACTTTCAGGAATCTGTATATATATAAAAGTTAATTCTACTGTATGTGACAATAACGTCCTACCTTTTGGAAGGATCTTTCTGAAGGCATAGTGAAATTAGTTTTCTAAAGGATTTGCCATACTTTTTCATCATCTCCTTGTCCTCTACACCCGTCTCTAAAGTAGGAGGGTCATTTTGCAGTGTTAGCATTAACACCTACAGCAAACCCAAACAGAAAATAGGTGCTGTAAGCTTCACTGTTAACTTAGTACAAAAAAATACGGAAATAAAAACACTATCAAGTTACTAATTAATTTATTTTGAAAAGATTAATTTCACTTTTAAATGGTAATTTAGAAACTAAGCTTTCTGATCCAACAAACAGCACAACAGTCTTCTGCTATCTTCAAAAATAAACACCAGGTAACAGGACTGCAATCTCATATAATCACTTCCAAACTTTACTAAAACACCTATAATCTTATCCTGTTTTAAGGACTGATGGGTGAAAACAAAGGAAAAGACATCAAGAAAACAAGTGAAAATACAATGAGTGCAGCTCATCTTTCTACCTTTAGCAGTAATGTTCATTTATCTTTTTTAATTAAAAAATGAAATACAACTAACAACACTAATATACTAATAACAAAGCCCTAGAGTCCGATTTTGTAGCTCTACATCTTGCACATCACTTCTCATGCAGCTTCCAATATACTACCTCCACCAATACCTGCCCCTATAAATAAATATATATGAGGGAAAAGGAGCAGGAGCCTACAAATTTAGTCTACTTTCAGTCATTTTCCAAGCAAGACTCATCTGCTCATCTTTTCAAGAATGAACAATCTACTAAAAAGAAATTCAAATGCACTGGCCAATCTGAGGCCTGGAACCCTTCAGCATTATGCAATGAAAAGCAATAGTTACTTTCATAGGAGGGTATTTGTGGTAAGGTGCTGCTCCTGTTGCTAGTTCAATGGCTGTTATCCCAAAACTCCACATATCAGCCTTGAAGTCATAGCCTCTCACCTGGAATAGAACCAGACAGAAAACAAGATGATGGTACCTTAAGCTCTGAAAGCCAAAGACCAAATTTTTTTTGTTTGTTTTGTTTTGTTTTGCTTTTTAAGCAGTAGGAATACCTGCTCCATCACTTCAGGGGCCATCCAACACGGAGTGCCGACAAATGTTTTCCTCACTTTGTTACGAGTAACGTCACCTCCTGTTGCTAAAAATGCACTAACACCAAAATCTGGGAGGGAGGGGAAAAAATTTTAATCAATTAAACCACCACTAACAAGGCAAAGATTTTACATTTTAAAAGTCTACTTATAGATATTCACTACTGCACAGACTACCTATGTTTCGTGATACTCTATTCTTGAAGTAGTGTGAAATAAAGTAGAGTTATCACTAAAACATCCCTCAGGCTTAACCTTTAGGCTAACCATTAGCTCATGAGCTCATGTCTCATGAGCTACGGCTACAGACCCCAATATGCCTGTCATTTCCTCTTTCCAAATGCTCACTTTGAGATAAGACTTGAGTCTGCTATTAAAAGATAAGGAGCTACATGCAGTATAATTACTAAATCTTAATGAAGTTTGCACAAATGTTTCTCATCTACCTATGTATAAATATTTCTTCCTTAAATTATCAGCAGAGATTACATAACTAGTAGTTACAGTACATTGAGGTGCAGGACAACAATCAAATAAAAGAGAAAGACTAATGAACACAAAGATTACATGGTTCTACCAGTAAGAAAATGCCAGAAGGTAATGACCAAAAGTACCAAGCATCCACTTTGCTTTGCTTTGTTAAGGCAGTGATACAAAAAATGGAAGAATGTCAGACTGACATTTCAACAAGCTTTAGTGTGTGATTATCAGTTGTTCCACTAGCAACAGCCCAAACCAACAAGGACATAAATTTAATACTGCGGTTTTCAACTAAAGTTCTGACATAATCTGATATGGGAAGAGTGTTGCACAAAGATGCATTTCAAATATCAACTACATGAGATATGAGGTTTGAGAAACCTTTGGTCTTACTCAGTACTTAAGCTCCTGTATTAAGAAGACCAAATAATTTGATTGTTATGACTGCTACTCAAGAAGAATATAGATACATTCAGAGGTTATTTAGGATGCTATAAAAGACACTGTCTGCACTCAGCTTTTCAACTACCGATGAAAGACTAATGGTAGAAATGAAGGAAGAAAGTGTTAGAAGGACATAAAATGAATCCTGATGTATTTGATTGAAAACTGAAAAATAACACATAATTTCCTAAGCAACTATTATTAGCTAAGCATTCTGAAGCCTGAAACAGGACAACTTGCAGAAATAACTACTACATAGAAGAATACTCTAAAAGTATCCTTCAGTTTCCATTTTGTTTTATTTAGCCATTACACTTTCACCACTGCCTCACCTGCTATCTGTACAGAGCCATCTTCACCGAGAAGAATATTGCCAGCTTTCAAATCTCTAAAACACATAAACAAAGAGTTACTTTCAGGTCTGAAATACATATAGGTACATATTCTACATTAAAAGAGAAAACAACCACCAATACCTATATGTATTAACTTCATACTAGCGTTTGAAATTTCAAAAGGTAAAAAAAGGAATTAAAGCATTGAATTTAACTATTTTACAATAAAACAGGTTTTTTGGTTTTTTTTTTTTTCCTTCTTCTCTTCATTGCATTCTTTTTAAGGTGCTTTAGGAAGAGACCAGGAGAATTCCCAATTTCCCATCTCAAAAAGTTCTGTTATCCTTAAAAACTAACGAATGTTTGTTTTGCAACAGTCTCAGCTTAATAGAAGACTACAAATAAAAGTCTGCAGCTGATCTTTAGCATTCCAGACCAGAAGCCAATATAATTCTTTTTTATTTCTCCATTTATCTCAATTTTCTCTCTGCAAAAAGAGGAAATATTTCTTGATTTACATCACAGGTAAATCATTTATAAGATGTGACACAAGAAGTGTGTCACATCAGAGAGCCATTCCTTGTGCTGCATCTGCACCACCTCCATTCTCAGAGTTTGGACTGCAACGCTCTGGGCTTTGTCTAAAACGAGGTCTCGTGAAAGACCAGCACCTGAAACAGAGAGCCTGCTGGAGCACCCTCCCTTAAAAGGCAAATTGATCTCAGTAAAACTAATGAGGTAAGTTAAAATATAGTCCAAAGAGTGGACACAACCTGGATCACTACAGCAGACATGTACAAATGAGGCTGAGGGATCTGCACAGTTTACATATATAGTACAGGCTTTATAGAAGCAAGTGAAGAGAGAACCAGAACGAGGCGCATATGAGTCGACAGCCCTTTCCTGCACCAAACCTGCTCCTCGTACGGTCATGAAGGGCTGCAGAATTGTATTAGATGCTACCTATTATCAGGAAAACAAAGTTCACTTACACAGTAGTACCTGAGCAACCAAGGTTATGGCCTTACTGTGCAACATGATGCACAAGGCAGAAATTGTGGCACTTATTAAATTCAGATTAGATATTAGGAGTACCCACAGTCAGAGCTATACAGACCACAGTTTTTATAGACTTAGTGCAGTGAAAACCTCTTCTATGAAGGAGATAAGATAAAAAACAGACTAGTGCAAAGTACTACTGAAACTTCAGTACATCTTCTACCTGAACATTATCATTGTTGATTATCAAATATTGATATTTACAGTATGCAAAAGGCAAAACAATTTGCTTAGTTAAGTAACAGTAGCTTACCAGTATCAAGAAAGACTATAGATGCTTTTCATGGTCTGTTTATTCCTTACCTGTGAATTTGCCCATTCCTGTGTAGGTAGTCTAACCCCTCCAAAACTTCTTTAAGAATTGTTGCTATTATTGGTTCTTCAAGGACACCATTTTTGTGTTCTCCTCTATTGACAATATACTTTATGATATCAAGCATTGACCCTACATTGCAGACACAAGGGATGAAAAAAGGCATACAATATAGCTTCATCATACTGGACTCTTGCAGAAGTTATATAGTATTTCTTTAATCTTTCCATGCTACTCCAATTTAAATTTTTACATCTATGTGCAAAGGCCTCAACTAGTTGGCTCTGAATAAAGCACACAACTATCTGATTAAATGGAAAAGTAAAGCAATGCTTTCTAATGGAATATTGAGTGAAGTATTCCTAACAAAGATCTGCTAACAGAAATCGCATTGCTAAGTTTCCATCTATTAAAAAGTCCAAAATATCCCACATTTAACCATATAATCAGATTTATTTCTGACAAAGTCCATGGGTTTTTTTTGTTGTTGTTGCTGTTGTTTTTACTTATAACTCAAAACAGGCAAACAAACAAACCCCAGTGACTATATGGGTAGAATAGCTTTCCTTATCATTAACCATACATAAACTTAAGCTCACACATTCCTGCTGTATCATTCAACATGCCTCTGTGGTTCATCTCATATAGTCTCCCTCTTCTGTCCTTGGTTGGTATAGGTCAATTAATTCAAATAAGACACAAATATCACAAAATTTATATTCTTACCTCTAATTAGATAAAAAGAGTAACTTACCACCACTTAACAGCTTCATAACCAGCCAAAGTTCATCCTTCACCACAAAAGAAGTGTAATAGGTCACCACATTGGGGTGATTGCATTGACTCATGGCTTGAATTTCTTTCTGTAAGAAATACAAAGCCCAGCATAATACAGCCAGCTGTCAGTTCTGCTTGCACAAAGTGAAAGTTTAATCGATAACTGTACAGTGCTGTTACAGCACTGCAATAAGCACAAAATACGCATCAAGGCACCAAAACATTTTAATTTACTTTAAATCTACATGCAAGACAAAACATATTGCAAGGAACGCAAGGGAAGTTTGGCCAGGAGACACAAACATAACTGCATCTTTTTTCTTCTTAGCACAGCAGAGAAATTGTTAAAGTTCCAAGTTCAGAGTGAGCAATGAAATATAAGGAGTCTCCAAGAGCTGGAGGTAGAGAAAGACCGGGTAACAGAACTTAAGGGACAATCAAAACCTTCTGCCTCTCCTGTTCAAAAAAGGATTCAGAAACAGTAGATAGGGCAGAGGGAGAGAAGAAGGAAGAGGCTGTAGGACACGATGGACAGCATCCCTGGCTCTGCTTTCTGGCTGGCGAGGCACACACCACAGAGCCAAGCAAGCAGACGGAAGTGCAAGAGGTAAAAGCAACATTACAGATTGAGAGGAAAACTCAGAGGAAACAATTGAGTAGAGGAACATACAGCCACCAACAGATGCACGACATGGCACTGCCAAGTAACCCCATCTGCAACACACCACAGCTGTACACAGCAAGAATGAAAGCCTTGTATTCAAGTGTTTGAGTCCTCTTCTATTCAGTTTCACAAAATTTATTTGTTAACACCTTTCAGGCAAGCCCACAGCGCTCTGAATTCCCTACATAGCGGCCTTCAGGTCTCCTTTGGACTGCAGGGTTTGGCCTCACAGCAATTCATGCTGCCCCTGCCTGTCACCAGCCACGAGGCCAGGGGACCCGCTGCTGGAGAGTGGGGCAGCCCCGCTAGACACACACCAGCCTGTTCCACCGCCCCTCGCCCCCCGAAACAGCAGGGCCTGGGGCTGTTCCCTATCAGGAAGATTAAAGCTGCCACAGATGCTGCTGTCTACTTAAAGCCTCATTTCAGTGAATACTTTTAAAGATTTTCTTTGTTGGTTATTTGCAGTGTAAGTGAAATCACGTGACAGCAGCTTTCCAATGCAGTCTTACTCACTGCATTAAAGACTCCTAATAACCACTAAAAACTATGATGAGATTAAATTATGCTGTAGTATGACATATCTCAGAGGTCTCCCTGGACTGCCTCCCAGCTCTGAACTACATAAGAAGGAATGTCTGTGTGCCCATGCAACAAGCCTAACTGATCAATTCACAAAATAATATTTTTAGAGAGAAAGCAGAGGGAAAAGCAGTGAAGAAACATGCTACACATTTCTCCTTCTCAGCAGATGTGTCAGCTTAAACTCAGGTCAAACTACTCAGGATTTTAATTCAGTTTTCCCTAACAAATCCTAACTGCAACACTTCCCCTCTTTATTTCATTTCTTATATTACTTTATTGTTTTGCAAATGCTGGTAACATCACAAGGGCTGACAAAGGCTGTTTGTTGTCACCAGGCAAAGATACATTCAATCTCTTTTATGCATACATGAATAGTACAGAAACGTAACTAGCGGCTTGAACTCAACTTCACAGTCTTTAACTGAAAAGTGCTTTAAGTATTTTTGCTACCCACATGAAACACAGAAAAAAAATCTGCAATTAGAGTAACTGTGGCCAAAGACACCTTATTTCTCAGGTTTAGAGACTGTTCCAAATCAAGACCCAGCAAAAAACAAAACACACACAGGTTAAAAGTTAGCCTCCTTTTGGCCAGGTTATTTCCAATCTAGTTTCACGGATAGGTCACACAAAGATGTGTGTCAGCATTAAGGGCAGGTGCCATCTAACAAGCAGCTGCAAGACAACTATTTTTGGTGGCCGTGCTAACTTGCGGCATTCGCAGGCACGGGGCCCAGCCGCAAGCGAACAGGCCGACACCTCGCTTGTGTCTATTTCCTCAGGACCTGCCTCACGGGCACCTGGCATGTGGCACCTCGGAGGCACTGGTCGTAAAACGCAAGGGGCTCTTTCAAGGAGCCAGCCTGGAAGGGCTACCCTTAGCACAGTCTCAAATGTTCACTGGTGAAGGAGAGATTTCCCTGGCCATAGGTCTGTCAGGGCCTGTAGATAAAAGCCTTTATTTTACTTCTTCCTCCTTTATTTTACTTCCACCAAACAACTTCAGGAGTTTCCTATTTATCTGACAGTACTGCATTGTATCAGCCAAGCTTACACAAGGATACAAGAGCTCCTCTTTGATAACAGATATTATTTGTCCACTGTCTAAAAGACATTAAGCACAGCAACGTACAGCTGGATTACTGATGAAACAAACATTAAGTAGTAGTTCAAATCAGCATTTACTCATTTTATTCCTGAGTTTATCATCTTTCTTAAAACTCTATGAGCAAGTTATTCTGTAAATTTTATTTCTTTAAGATTAAGGATAAGGGCATTCCTTAAGATAAAGCAGTCAGGGTAATATTAAAGACAGGAACTTTTCCTTGGCTTGCAGAGTTAAGTTACATTTAGCTTACAATAGTGAGAACACAGGACAATGCAGGAAATCGAGTATTGAATTTCAGGAGTTTGGCAGCTTATGTAACCTTGGTATTATTTAAACTCCCTCCCCCACGGCCTTGCTATTTTAATTGACAACAGCCCAAACGCTAAGTCTGCTTACGCGGGCATCAGCCTTGCTGCATTTCCATTTCTCTAAGGCCACTGAGCGGAGGATTTGTCAGGAGTGACTTTGCACATCATAAAGCAAGCACTCATCAGCAGGATTTTACAGAACAGCATGTTTGGGAACAGTTTTGGAAAATCCTTATGCCAAAGAAGGCTGTTCCATCAGAAAAAGTAATGATTAAAAACAATAGATTCAAAATCATGTTAAAAAAAAATCAAAATCAGGAGCATTGTAAGTATGAATTTAAATAAGAGTGCTTACACAAGTATAACAATATTTTTAAGATAGATTTATTCTGACTGGGTTTTATTCTAGAGATTTCTAAATTTTGTTTAAAAAAATAATTTATGCCCTTTTCCAGAATAATCTATTTCCCCCAGGGATAAGAAGTTTTAGTTATATGTGTGCGCACATGCATGCATACATCTATAAGATAAAAATATCCTATGTGGCCTTTCACTTACCCTTCTAAAGCAATCCTATCAACTCAGAGAGCCAGAACTTACGTTCAGATCAATACAGATTAACAATTAAAAGAAAACATCTGAACACAGCAAAGCAGATATTGACTTAGATTAAAAAATGATGGGACAGTCACCTTTGTATGAAAAGATAACAACGTAGGATCAGAAGTTCAAGATTTATGGCCTGGTGTCAAATTGTAGCTATGTCTTTTTATCACCTGGATATTTCTTTTGAAGTTTCAGTAGCTTTATCTGTTTTTTTTTCCTGTAACATTTTTTAATTCTTAGTTTCCACCATTAATTCAAATTCTGCTAAAAAAAATCTGAAACAATGAAGTGTGATCATTTTATTTTGCTTTATGACAGGGTTGGTAGTCTTACAAAAATGTTCTTTATGGGCCATAGGTATTAATACATCACATACAGCCTCACCTCGGGCTGCTCTCTCTTAGCCACAGTTCAGAGCTACACTTATCCTTTGGGTTTAGTTGAAACCTCCCTACCTCCATGGTAGGCAGATTTCACTGTCAAGGCCCTCTGAAAACACAACAACATCTCATACAAGCTGGTACGTAAACTGAGGGCAAATGCCACCAATCACCAGGGGAAGAGCATTTTGGGTCCTCCACTGCAAACAAGCCATTTGTTCTGAAGAAACTAGATGGACCATACCCTCTGTATCAAATTCAAGATATCTTTTGAACTGGCAATTCCCTGCTGAGGAGATCATTTCCTTCAGAGGCAGGAATTTCTGCATTAGAAAAAGCCCACAGTCTCTAGGCAGTAGTATAACCTGTGGAACAGAAGAGAGTGTTCTCACTTTTAGAATGGTTTTGCATCTCTGTTTTCCTGCCTATCTATAAATAAGCATTAGGCTCATAAAAACCTGACTAGGAATGACAGAAAGCAACAAGTTTAACTTTTAAGTTCTTTGTAACTTTTCTGGATTGTTACAGTAAGTGCAGAGGGAAAACTCTTGCATTTCCTTTTACAAAGAGCATCCTGCAGGTGCCTTCCTCCTTTGCTCAGTGTCCCACACAGACAGCACCACTCCTGGGATCTGTCACTGCCTGGCAGACATTGCTGTGTGGTGGGTTACCCTTGTGTGCAGCCACATAGCCTTTCTCACCCCAGCCTTCCCTCTCCAAAACGCTATCATTACAGAAATATTCCAACTAGTTTTTGCCCCCCCCCCCTTTTTTTTTGGTGCTTTAGACATTTTAAGAAAACCTATTAAGTTTTACTGTTTTATTTTAATTAGTCTTTACACAAATTAAAATACACCTTTCCTCTTTAGTAAGAAATGTAAGACAACCGTAGTGCAGCCCCTCAAAAAACTAGTCTCCAGAAAGCAAGGTTGAGGTTCTTCCTAGAGCTCTCAACAGGTGGTTAACGCACAGGATTCCAATTTGTTCTCTTCTTTGTAGGGCATTGGGGAGCACATATTTGTCTGATACATTTTAGAGCAAGGTATCTTTCCTTCGGATTATTGAGTCCTTTTCCCCCCACACTAATATGCTCTCACTCTAACACCAAGCAAAATCAAGATCAAGCAGTAGATTGTCTCCCTACAAAATGTTCTCTCTGGTTTACTTACGAGTAGCTCATCCATACTGGTCTGACACTTCTCTAAGTTGATCCTCTTTATTGCTACACGTTCTTGCCTGGGTTTGCATAGCGCTGCCTGGACAACTGCTGTCGCACCACTACCTGGAAAAAGGCAGAAGAGGAACATGGACTTAATGTGACAGGAATTCCCACCAGTGCCCAGCACAAGAACCCAGCATGGACCAAGAACTGAAGAAGCCTCTGTGGGGCCTTTCTCAGCCTTTCCGGCACGCGCAGCAGCAGGGCAGCTTGCGCACTGCTCACAGCAGAAGAAAGGCTCTCCAGCTCAGAGACTGCAAGCCATTCTGGGGAGAAGAACTGAACATAACAGGCTCGTTTATCAAATCACTCCCCCCCACCTAAAAGCACTTCAAAGCTTGGGAGCCATTACATTTTGCTTCTGGATACATCTGTTTCAATCAATAATTTAAATATTTCATGACTTGCAGATCAAACACAATGAAAAATGCTAAGTGTGGGGAAAGAGGAGGACAGGGGGATCAGTTTGTCAAATGTTATTTCTTTCAGTTCTTTCAGGTCACCCCTTACTTACCAGACTTTTGTCTCCACTGCTTAATGGACATAAAAACATTGCTAAAATTGTACCTGTCCAAACTTCTATGCTTCCACCACATTCCTGCTCGTCTGTTATGATCAGGATAACAATCCAGGCAAAAGGGTTCCTTGAGCAGAACATGGGGCAATAGCATCACACCGGCTATGAGAGTGCAAGTTACTGAATGGCCTGGCATGGGAAGAGTCACACTTACTGACCTTCAAACCACACCTGACAATACCACAACAGAGACGATGACGCTAGATGCCATCCAACAGATGCTGGGGAAAGCACCAGAACGAGCTTGAGTTTGCTTTTAGTCTCAAGTTTTATTTGCAAGCTGCAAATAGGAAGTCCCATCGCTGCTTTTATCAAGCACCCACTGGGTTTGCCCCAGGGTCAGTATCTCAGCATTGCTTACCAAATTAACGAGGTGCTTTCAATTAATATTCAGAGAGAGTTTTGCCAAGCTTGAACATCTTACAGCTACATCAAACACAGCGGAGTACTTGCTCAAAGGAACTGCATCTTGCTCATTCATGCAAAAACCTAAAATCCCCTGAGCAGCTCCCACCTGTAACTCTAATTATTTTCACATAAATTACAGTCTTCTAGTAACTCACTGAACTGAGCACCATATCATATTGGCCTGCTCACGCATTATGTTCTATTTACGCACAGTAATTGGCATCTCCTGGATGAATGGAAATAATGAACAAAAACTGTTTTGTTGTCAGACCCACAAACACGGATTCAGTTACCAGTCAACTTAGGAACAATTGGGAGCTTTTCCCTCCACACATCCGAAAAAAGCACTGACAATAACTCATGACTGGAAGTTATTATCCATGACTTAATTGCTATTTGCTTAGATATTTTCATGTTTTGACTGCATGTTTTTTCCTCCCCCCTACCCAAATCACAAAGCTTTTTAGCTCAGAACATGAATTAATGTGTCTTTTTTCCATATGCCAGTAGTTTTCTCTACTTGCAGGAAATCAACTAAATTTGCACTTTTGAAATGCTATCATACACCAAAGTCACATTACAACTAACAAGATCATCACACAAAACAAAAAATCGTCAGCAAGATGTGGATGTAATCTTAGCCACTTCCTCAAGTTAAAGCGCAACAGTATAGTGACAATAAAAAGTTAGTTTAGAAGAACTTTGTAATCCAGGTTTTCCAAAAAAAAAAGTCCAACCACATCCCTGACCTCATCCTGTTACGGTGCCTGCTCAAGTTGTACGTGAGCCCAAACCAAACAGAACATAATTTACTGCCAAACATTTTCCTATTACAAGATTAATCATGAACATATCCGTTATGTGCAACCTGAAGATCTGTTCCTCTTCTGACTACTGAAAGAGAACAAGAGGTGAAATTTTGGGATGAAAACTATAGAGTTTGGTAGTTATTTCTACAAAGAGCCTATCCATGCCCTTTGTCCATTTCGCCTCTCCAGAGATGCTGGCTTCCAACGTCACAACACATACAACGCATGGGCAATGCAAAAAGCTTGCTCTGTTTAGAATAAGGGCAACCAAACTCAGGTTCTCTTCTTTCTCTTCTCTTTGAACCCTCTAAGCAATACAGTATTTCAATACTAAATGCAATCTGTGCAGCCTGCATTCTTGGTGGAATACAGACATAAAACATGCTCAACAGTATCCCAGTGATTTCAGCAAATCCTAAAATTTAACAAAAGTAACTAACATAACATGATTTTTAAGCTCTATTCTTCAACGCCAGGAATTACAATTAATGGAAAGAAAGAACAGCTTTCATCGTACTAAAACTGCTCTGTTTAGTTCTGAAATATTTTGGGTCAACAAGAACAACACACACACACAGGGTTAAGGAAAAATGAAATTTGGGGAAACGTAGCCACTGCGCAACGTAGCACTGCACTCCTTCACATGGAGAGCTTGGTGCTTAATCCCTCAAGCCAGTCAGAACAGATGTGGTTTTGTTTGCATTTAACAAAGGGCTCCACTGGACAAGCAGATTCTGATGGCCGGGTGGGAGGGGGAAATGGTCTGTGTGACCTAAGGGTAAGTCTTTTTTTTTTTTTTTTTTTTTTTAGAAGACGGCATAGAA